GAAGGAATGCTGGCTTCTCCAAAGCTTGGCCACCTGCTTCAGCAAACACATTTGAGATGAAAAAGATTTTCAAATAAATAAACCCCCCCCCAAACAGATCATCACCAACATACACTTCATTATGACACATACACTGCAGGCACTTTGAATACCTTCCTACACTAGTGAGGTCTTTATCAAAGCCATGAAACACTTGCTTGGTTCCATCCTCACCCAGGAAACAACAGAAGCACACTGGTAAGTCACATTGACTTCAGCTTAAAGAGCAGTCCTCTGTTAAACTGAGGTATTGCTAATGAGGATGTGCAAACCCTTGTATGTTAGGTGTGCTAACTCTTCGGAGGAGCAGTGGTTACTGGGATAAATCAGTTTAGTTGTATAACACAACTGTTTTAGTTGCCCAACTACTTTCATTGTCCCGAATGTTTCTACTCTGTAACCCTGTGCTCTTATTTGAAGCATGGTTATTTGAAGGGTTTCATTTTTCTGAGTCCTTATTGCCTATTACCTTATTGCCTCTCTTCCCAAACTACTTCTTGCTTAATTACATTTTTCCTTTTGAAGATGCTGTGATATATTTCCCACGTTTTTCTTTCTATTTGCCATGTCCTGAGCTAGGGTGAAACTAACACTTGTTCTCTACTTTCCTATTTTTTTCCCCTTGTTCTTGTTTTTTGCATGATTTTGGGAAAGAATGTGTTACTTCGGGTTTATTTAAACTTGATTTTTTTTTCTTAAGGTAATAAGTCAAGGGTATTTAATGGCTCAAGGATCTGAAAACTGAAGAAAAAACCTAATGTTAAATTCATGACATAGTTTATGTCTCACAAGCACTGGCATTAGGAAAGCTGTCCATTTTTTCTATGAAAGATTCTGGGAAAGAACTGACAGTTATCTTGCTAATCTGTTGCATTTTCCTGCCGTAAATATGAGAGAGTGAAGCGGAGTAATGGGGTTTATAGATATGAGGTTTAATTCTATGTTTAGCAAAGGATTAGGAAAAGATAGGACCTTTTCCTTAGATCGTATTTAAGTGGCTTCTCAGGATGTTTACAACTTTTGTGCAGTGAACAAGATGTTCATGGTAAGAGCCATACACCTCCAGCAACTCATTTCTCAAGTTTAGTGGCAGAATATGGATACGAGATTGAGGAAGGTAGGAAGAGGTGGTTCCTCTTATGTTATTCTTTTCCTGAAAGTCTTGCCTACAATGAAAAGCTTTCAGAAGACCATCAATCCATCAGAAATGCCCTTCACTGCAGCAGGTCTGAGGGGATGATGGACTGCTTTCCACAAACCAGAAAACAACTCCTGATAAAGGCTGGCCTTTTCACAGGCTGAAACAGGTCTGTTGAAAGCTTGACAGCCGTGAGCAAATCAGATTCAAGTGAAGCAATGGTGTGCCTTGCAAAATAAATGTCACTGAATGGCATATATTTGTACACATGCTTGCTAAAGAAAAACTGCCCCCTATTTTCTCGCTTAAAGCCTGTATTTCCTCTGTAATGATAAACATCCTTCCCCAAACCATGTTCTATTAAGCACATCTAGAGCCATGTTTTGGCACACTGCATAACCCCATGGCTCAGACTCGGTATCTGTTGATGAATAGCCAGTGGTCATTTAGTTCTTTCAGCAAATCTTTGGAAAACATGAAAATCCCAATGAGTTGAAATGAAGCAGAGGAGAGAATAGATAAAGCCACGTTACAGAACTGCTGAAGTTGTGATCGCTCCAGCATCCTTCACTTACACTTAGTTCTTCTCAGCAAACTTAATTTGCACACACCCAATTAACACATACATGTTCGAAGCTCCCCTAGAGACAAATCCCTGTCAGAGGGTCAGCAGCTCAGTAAACCTGTGGCTCTTCTAATCCTTTAATTACAAAGAATGATATTTCTAATTGTTCTTAAGTCAAGATCAATGAACCAATGTTTGCCAACAAGATTGCTTCATTTTGTTTGAATTGTCATGGGAGGGATGAAAAGAAAATACTTTCTGGATGAATTATTCTCTTTTCTTCTTTTACTGTCATGTCTTTTGGTCCTGTGTTGTTCCCTGCAGAGCCAGTGAAAGATTGCACTACAAAACTCCATCCTTTAAACCTCAGAAGACACTGGGGAGGTCAACTTCTCTTGCTTTTCTCTAAAACCTGCTAACTGGCTTGTCACTTGTCCTGAGGATACTTTATGATACATCAGCTCTTGGGTTTTTCAGTTGTATACCTTATCCACAGAATTTCTTTCAACTTTCAGATACATGTAAATACATTTCCAGACTGCGTCTGTGATGTTGCAATGCTTTTCTGCAGTGTTATCTGAATAAAGCCCACCAAAAACCATCAGTGAACCTCCAGTTGTGTTTTGCAATTTTGACTAATTAAAATGTCATAATTTAGGGCACGGAGGAAGTCATTATAATCCTTGGGGAGCAGAAACCTTGACTGTGCCAGGATAAATCAGGCTGCAGCAAACCCAACCTATTTGATTTACTCAAGGTAAATCACATCAGCTCCTCACAAAGATGCTAGTTCACGCACAGCGACTTGCTTTAGTCTCAAAGCAGAGATCAGTAGAATAGATCCCACATTAATATAAATCAGTAATTCCCTCCAAACCTAAAAAGAGTAACATTTTAAATGTTTGATCTCAGATTGAGCTTAGCTGGGGGAAAAGACTACTAGAAACTGTGGCACAGCATTTGAGGTTTGGGGAGAAATCTCTTTTAACCATCATTTAGAAAAATATATGAGCATCCAGATATTTCTGAGTACTCTAGATATTACCAATATATAACTCCCTTTACATCTGGGGACTAAATACCCCTTTATTCATAATGGATAAATGATGTAGGTATTTTGGCATTCTCTGTCACTGCAGTGGGAAATGATGATATTCTTACTGCTTTCTATTCATACAGTAGGAGTTTTCAGGTTCAGATTTATCAATATATTGTATCCCATGTGTTTTCTGTTAGACCTTTTTCTTCAGTGACTTCTCATGCATGCAACCCCTTAGAAGAGAGGTGACTGGTTAAGTTGGTCAGTGCAGAATTTGGTCTACGACACCTATGGCAAGGTGCTGAGCTTCCTTTCCCCTCTAGAAATAACTCCAAGGAGTGACTAGAAATGGTGTTAGACCTTTCAAGAGTCCTTCTCTTCACCTGCTGCTCTTAATGACATTCCTACACAGTGCAGAGACTGCAGAGATTTGAAGTATTTCCCCATCCCTGTCATTGGGAATCTCATTCACCCATGAATGAGCTGGAAATCTGAACAGTTATGTAAAGAAAAAACCCTACTCATAGTCAGATTTGAAGGAGGAGCTTTAGCTGAACATGAGTTATATTTCAGGATGCACTGAAAGTTTTGGAGAATTTAGACAATACACATGTATTGACTGAGTAGAATCTCTTTATATATAACTTGTAACTTTTTTGGATTCTGAAGATTTATATAAAAACCAAATGCTAGCAGAAGGAAAGTTGCAATTTTTTGGTTGCATTTTTAAGCCCACTAAATGTTTCTTGCTTTACTACAAGTCCTGAGAAAAGTATATTTTATAAGTACTCCATAGATAGATAAACTTATTTAAGTGTATTTGAGGGTTGAACAACCAGGTTTGAGGGCACAGAAGGTATACTTCTGTCTTACAACAGTAATTTTGGTATAAATTACAATAGTATTTAGGTATAAATTTCAAATAATCATAAAAATACATTGTCACTTACCACTGTACAACATCACTGACACAGACACTAGCAGAATTACAATCATTTTAATCCAAAGACAAGAAGAAGTCATACAGCAGACTGGTGTTCCTGGAGAGTTAAATAAGTATTAGGCAGAATGTTACCTCTTGGAACTGGGAGTGGGAAAACATCAGCTTAGAAAATCATTGTTTTGTAGCCTGGCCATATTCCTGCTTGATACAATTTAGTTTTTACCCTTATAGTAAATACACATAGTACTGCAATGATGAACCTTATGTATCCTTCAGATTTTACCAGTTATGTCCTCTATAAACCTGACTAACACTATGTATTTCAGTATTTCTTTAGGTGAGCCAACAGACTCAGCCCCAGGCAGGGAAAGTCCATTTAGCAATATATTATGTGATCTAATGGGATGTTTAAACAATTCTCCACATTATGTTTAAAAGCAGATATTGTGAAACAATGTGTAAATAAAGAGACATTGTGGGATTACTTCTATTGAACCCAGTTTATCTGCGATCCATTATACCAATTTTCTTCACATCACAAAAATCTCTTCCACTTTGTAGTCAAATACTTACTCTAATCTTCATTGAGATTGATCTAATGTATCATATCTTTTCCTGATGTATCATATCTTTTCCTAAACTCTTATGTTGTTTAGAGCTTTAAGTTCTAGCTGTGCTTGTCCTTACAGAAATGTATGTAAGGAATTCTTCTGAAGCCTTGCACTAGTATTTATTAAATGACAGATAATAGACTGGCTTTGACCTACAGTCCCAGGTTTACAATGATATTATAAGTCAGGCACGGAATTTTTTACAGCCAAATAAATTAATGTTTCTTTATCAGTTTTCAAATATGTATCTACTGTTGATTATCTGCTCTCCTATTGTCAAATATTGCATTAATGTCTATTAAATTGTGATGTTTCATCAGGAAATCAGATTATAAATCTAACAGCTCTAAATATTTATAGTTTACTATCCCAAATCTCTTACCTATACTTCAGTCTACAACTCCACAATCCCAAATAGCTTATTCTACATTGTTTTCTTCCTGATTCCTGCATTATAGAGTACCTCTAGAAAGACTTACCTTGAGGGATATTATTCAAAAGCAGTTGGATGGAGGACAAATGGATTCCAGCAAACTCAGTACTAAGTTATTTATACCCACTTGGATATATACCTCACCCATGTGATCACTTCCTTTATCAAACCCACTTCAACATTTATTAATTAATTCTTTCATAAGATTCCTTAGAGTCATTATGTTCACAGTGTATTTTAGTAATGTAGCTCCTGCCATGTAAAGGATCTATACTGAGAACTCTGTTTGGCAGGTGCATTCACCGTGTAATAACTTTGCCTAATACTCTTGGCTGTAATTAAATAACAATCATCTGATTGTTATTAATCACTCACAAGATCTCTGAGGCATGTGAATATGGCTTTAATAGCTTAGCAAGAGGTAGTGTTCGGTGATGAAAGATGAGTGAAAATTTACACAGCTTTAAACACTGGCATTCCTCAGGGTTGAGAAGTTTTCTCTCATCTATCCACAGTGGCTTTGATCCAAAGCTGAGTGAAATCCAGGGGAAGGATGACTCAATGAGCTTTGGGAAGGCTTCTCCTCATGAGGAGTATGTGCTTTCTGCCAGGGTCAGACACAGCTGTCCTTCACAGACGCCATTAACAAAGGCAAACTGTCCACTGAGTTTTAGCATGGAGGAATGAGAAGTCCAACAAACTGGAAATTGTAGAAATACATCATAGGATCATAGAATCATAGAAGAATTGGGGTTGGAAAGGACCTTAAGATCATCTAGTTCCAGCCCTCCTACCAGGGACACCTCACACTAGCCCATGTCACCCAAGACTCCATCCAACCTGGCCTTGAACACTGCCATGTTGGATGGAGCACATACATGAACAGAAGGCTTGAGTCCTCCAAGACCTTCAGAAAGACCTTTGACACTGTCTTCCATAAGATCCTCATAGAGAAGCTGTTGATATATGGGCTGAATGAGCCCTGTGATGTGGGTTGAAAAGTGGCTGAACAGAGGGGCCCAGAGAGTGGTGATCAGAGGCACAAAATCTAGTTGGAGGCCAGTAACCTGTAGTGGAGGCCAGCAGTTGGTACAAGGTCCAGTGTTGATTAACATCTTCAATAATGAGCTGGATGCTGGGGCAGAGTGTACCCTCAGCAAGTTTGCAGGTGACACCAAACTGAGAGAAGTGGCTGATACAGCAGAGGGTCATGCTGCCACCCATAGGGACCTTAACAGACTAGAGAAATGGGCCAACAGGAACTTCATGAGGTCCAACAAGAAGAGCAAAGTCCTCCACATAGGGAAGTACAACCCCAGACACCAATATATGCTGGTGTCCAGCTCTGGGCTCCTCAGTATGAGACAGACATGGACAAACTTAAGACAATCCAAAGGGCCACAAAGACTTCTGTGTGAAAGTAACACTTGTCATCTCTCATATGAGGAGGGACTGAGAGAGCTGAGACTCTTCAACCTCAAGAAGGCTCAGGGGGATCTAATCAATGTATATAAATACCTCAAGGGAGGGTACCCAGTGACATGACAAGAGGTTCCCTCTGAACAACGGGAAGTGCTATTTTATTATGAGGGTGACTGGCCACTGCCATAGCTGCCCAGAGAGCTTGTGGAGCCTCCTTCTTACTCCCCTCTGTTGGAGATACTCCAAAGCCATTTGTACATGGCTTTGGAATCATGGACATTTGCATTCATTAGCTATTCGGGCAGGGTCATGAGTCCTCTGAGATCCTGATTTTCCCATACGGCACCATCATTTCTGTACTTCTGCCAAACACATACAGATGCTTTTCAGGACTAAAAGCCCTGGAATATGGTAAAAAAAAATACGTTTTTTGAAGGCAGAAAATGTGTTCTTTTTTTTTCATGGAACCTTGTTTTTTCATTCCTTCTCTTATTTTGAAGTTTTTCTCATTTTCATTATTCTTCTGGGAAAACCAAATGTGAGTAAAACTACTGTGACAAGAAGGTGTCATTCAGGACCATTAATCCTTTCTCAGCAGCCTCACAAGACACCCATTACTACATGGTATCTTCTAATTCAGTCCCCATGAACATGCTTGGGCAATAGATCCCAGGCCTTTCCAGGACCTTAGAGTGGAGATGGTTGTGACCTACCCCAGTGCCAGCCATGGCTGAGGTACAACCTATTGCACTACCCGGGTTAGCACTCTGTCCAGGGACTTGTATTCCTGAAGGAAAAACACAGAATGATTTCTTAAAAACACAAAGCGCCCTTTAGTGTGGAGACCAGTGCTACAACTCAGAGCTGATTGAATTTATTAAGCTAAAATTAAAACAATCTTTTAAAATGGAAGCCTTTCCCAAAAATACTTGTATTTTTGATATTATCTTTTTATTAAAACCTAAGAAAAAGTCACACTGACTTTAACGGTTGTTTTCTGCCCTTACGTTCTTGTTTTCATGTCCTTCTGCCTGAGCTCTCAGAAAACTTAATGATAAAAATGTAAGAAATAATATATATATATATTTTTGAATCATGTCTTCAGGTTTTAAGATGGTTTTGTGAGATTTAAAAGCAACAGTTGCACAAAGGTGTAATTGGCTCAGCTCCTTACAGCAGAACTGGTTTCCCTTGGGTGAGGAGAGGTGCTGCAGACCATCCTTCCACAGCACTGCAGTAATGTGGCTGTGTTCATATTCCTGATTCATACATTCTCTGTAGTGACATTCCTACCTCTTCCACTGGCCTAACATGCAGTGTCAACTGTAATTGGTGCTACTCCAATGTGACAGAAATGCTCCCCTCATGCTGTTGGGCACAACAGGGAAATGTATTTTGGAAGAGGGCTGCTGCATCCCACCTCTCCCTGGGGGCAACTTTCCTTATGGTGCCACCTTTCTTTTTGGCTTTATATTACTTTGAACACATATTTCTCCAGTGAAATATCAATGTGCACCAGCTGTAGTGCAAATAATCTTATTTTTTTGAAATATTAATGGCTTCATGGTGTATTTTGGGTCGGTATCAGCATCACATTGCTTTGGTGTAGTGAAATATAGGCTGCTGCAATTTGGTTATTCTTTCCTTTCTTTAGAGCTGCTTTTAGTTCACCAGAGGTGCACATAAGGCAGGAGGTGAATCTTGGTGAGTTCCCACAAATTTACCACAGAGTGAAAGCACAAGAGGTGTGAATCAATTTACTTGGTGAATCTCTGCACTTGATGAGTTGCTGAAGACTCTTGATTTGGAATAATGGATAATCTGCATGTGTTCAACACCAGGAAAGACCCTTCTTGTCTTCAGTATTTCAGCTTTTAAATTATCTTGTGTTTATTACTTTTAATTCTCTTAATTGTAAAGAAACTAGAATGAACTATTTGGTACCCAACCATATTCACTACCCAACCATATAAATATGCCTCATATAATTCAATTTTAAAGTCCTTTCAATGCTTTTATTATGGTTACATCATTTGTATAAAATACATCTGTTTTTACACATTAATTTTACAATGCCTTAATGGAAGACACATTTCTAGGTTAGCATATGGTTAATAGCTTGCCTTGTTATAAATATTTGCAAATAACATGTTGCATCCTCATTTTTACGCTGAGAAATGAGACAACTAAAACTGCCTCCAATCTTCCAATTCACAGGAAAATTCCCCAGTACTCTAGACTGACGTACAGATGTTTTTAAGGCATTTTTGTTTTAATGCTGGAAGAAGACGAAAAAACTGTTGTTAGAAGAGGTTTTACAAGGAAAATTAATAGAATTAATTTTAATTAATATAATAAATGAAATGATTTCCTTTTTAATACCTTAAAAAATCACTATCAGATAAAAGAGATACCTGATGAAAGACAGAAAATGCTCTGTGGGTATATAAATATTTTTGTTATAACTTCATTATAAAATATGTAGAGATACAAAGAGAAAATGTACTTACTTTGGGAGTAAGCAACTCTTTTGACTCTTGCACAGACATAATTTGCATTTCTCAAGAACCAGGAATAGTATTCAACA